CGGCCGTTCACCTAGCCGTGCTAACAAAGCTATGGTGTTCGGTTGGAAGAGATACTGGGCGCAGTATCTTGTACCTGCAATTTTTAATTCTCACTCATTGATGCTTCTAAGTCAGTTCAACGCTGTCTCATACGTTGACTTTGCAATAAAGTGCTAATGCTCTCGGCTAATGCAGTACCTAAATGTAAAGGGCTAATGCGCGCCGCGAAGCAGCCTGAAATCGCGCTCCACGGAGCAACCTTCTCAAGTGTGTCTTCGCAGCTTCTTCCCACTGTGGTAAGCTGTGTGATCCCTACGGGGCGCCGTTACTGCAAGAACCTTTTCACTCCTCACCGCAGGAGTAAGTGTTCCTGAAGTTTTTCTGAAGTTTACTCGACTGAATTTTCCTGTTTGAAACCAGCTTGATTGGAATGTCTCACCTGGCACACGTGAATTGTTACTGCAGAGTTCACTGAATTTTCCACTGAAATATACTGCAGAGTTCAACTGAATCAGTTTCACACCGGAGAAGTCTTTTCCAACTTTTAATTTTTCACTGCGCCGATTCGGCTTCACTTCGCTCATGAGAGCATTTACCCCACCCTTCACCCCCTGCACCTTTTCTTGTTTTTCTTTTCTTTGCCTTTTCGTTTGTTCCTTCCTTCAGGCTTTTTAGGTATTATCCAGGCTCGTTTAGTCAACGCACGCCCTGCCCGCCCGATCCAGCCGACACAATGGTCCAGAAAATACAATCTGGCAGGACAGCCTGTCTTGGACATCTTTCCTTGGCAGCTCAGTCGCTTTGGCCTACAAGACCACAGCCTTCGTACTTTATCCCAAGGACACTACACTGGCATCGTGACCACCAGGTCTATCGCAGAAGCAGTGTTCACCTCACAATTGTTGCCAGAGATGCGAGCCCACAACCTCGACATTGACAACATTGCTGAATATTTACACCAACAAGCTAACCAATCCATTCCAAACAAAACGACAGATGCCAAACAATTTATGCAACCACTCATTTCCCGCATGATTGACTTCCTACGAGGCCTCACACCACCCGCAGGCGAAGGTACAGCACTCCGAAAACTTCAGCTACAGACAGATCGCCTACACCAGCAAGAGAGCGAACTCCAGCGAGCTCGCGACAAATTGAAGACTCATGGCATTGCACTTACACCAACAAAACCAGGGACACACCCCGCCACATCATCAGCTTCCCAACCCCATCTCCCACTTACAGCCCCAGCCGCACTCACAGCTAACACCATTCTCAACCCCACCACTCAAACACTACAAGACAACTCACCAGCCAACTACGCGGCAGCAGGCATTCAAAAATGGCTCAAGACACTACCACCAGCCACTCAGACACAAGTCACCAATATCCAGCAAATTCTTCGAGATGAACGCATCACCAAAGAACAGCTCCAGGAGGCAGCCACACGCTATGGCATCCCGCTCACCCGTGTGCTTAAGCTACCACCACGTTCACTACAGCAGCTGGTGGCAGCAGGTTCGGCATTAGCCGTCTGACTCGCTCAACAAGCGCTGCATCACCCAACACATCTCACTTTACAATTCTTGACCACACTTCACTCAGCACTTTTACACTTTGTCCACTTCACACCCTACATTGACAAGACCCACGCGATCTTTTCCATCAGTCTTGACATACAATCCACCGGCACTCCCATTCAACACTCCCACATCGGTCGACACTCCACCCACCACCCACAACAACGCACACTCGACACTCAACTCCACATCTCCCTGATAGTACAACAAGCCCTTCAATCATGCATTTTTCAAGCCTGCAACACTTACTACAAGCAAATCCAAGGGGCAGGCATTGGCAGTCAACTTTCACCAGCGCTCTGCAACGTAGCAATCACACTCATCGTACATACCTGGCAAACCACATACCACACCTTTTTCCACCAACCCAGCCTTCACTTGCTCAACATACGCTCCGTTGACATCCGCTATATCTTGCTAAACGAACAATACAGATCAGCGCCCCCATCACTACACAGTCAGCGGGGAGTCACAGACTACGCCTTTCAGGCTTACAGTCACGACACCACACACTACGAAAATACACATTTCCACAGCAGTTCGCACTTACCACAGCACAGCAGTTGATGCAGCTCTATATGCCAAAAGGTCATTCAAAGGAACACTGTGCCGCGGCGCTGCGGCCACGAGAAAAAGACGATGCGCCAGCAGAGTCATAGTACCTTACTTTACAATTCCTTTTTCGACGTCTTGGTCTTCCATTATTTACCCTTCAGGTATTTTCTGATCCGATCTAGTTGCGCCGATTCGGCTCTTTGTGTGTGTCCACTCCTGTTTCCAAGGACACTACACTAGCTCTTACTAACTTTTCCTAGGACTTTCGTGACCATTGTACAGAAGCAGGGGGCACGGCGGCCGTTCACCTAGCCGTGCTAACAAAGCTATGGTGTTCGGTTGGAAGAGATACTGGACGCAGTATCTTGTACCTGCAATTTTTAATTCTCACTCATTGATGCTTCTAAGTCAGTTCAACGCTGTCTCATACGTTGATTTTGCAATAAAGTGCTAATGCTCTCGGCTAATGCAGTACCTAAATGTAAAGGGCTAAAGCACGCCGCGAAGCAGCCTGAAATCGCGCTCCACGGAGCAGCCTTCTCAAGTGTGTGTGTGTGTGTGTGTGTTAACACCGGTTTCTAAGGTTTGCGCCTGGTAAGTATACCTGCCGTAGATTTCACTAGAAGGCTGGATGCTACTAGTAGCTCCTGGCCTTGCTACTAGGAACCAAGCTAAAATTAAAAAAGCGCGAGTAAAAAGACGCAGGGGGACTGTCTACCCCACAGAACTAACAGTCCAACGAAGAGGCTTCTGTGGCGGTACTGATATCACTGGAGACGTCCAGTGACGTACCTGCAATGTTTGAACGGTTTTCAAGCTGTCCAATACCGTGTTGTGCACTAATCGCCTAATGAGCAGAGAGAGAAACAACTTCAAGCACCTTCAAATGAATGGACCACCTCGCCTTGCGGTTACTGCACCATTCAGTTCATTCAAGTCAAGTGGGACTTCATTCTGATCCTAGCTCTTGCGAGCAACCATCTAAGTGTGTGCTAGAGTGCGAAAGTTTGCTTGTTCACCCTTAACTTGTTCTTCTTCTGTTCGCACTCTAGAAATATGCGCGTGTTTCTTTTTGCTTAAAATTATCCACCAGCAACTCGATTGAAGGCTTTGGTTGCTTGATGGTGCAAGAGTTCTCAAATATCATAGCATGATTCTGAGCGGCGGGGCAAGCTTCTTCGCGTTCACACTGCCAAAAGTAGTTTGGGCTGGCCCCTATTGGTTTCAGTGTTTTGGAACGCAGGCAAAAAGCTACTTTCAATCGAGAAAGGGTATCGGTATAGGGAGTGTGTCTCAAGGCCTGAGAGCTGTGCGGTTATGTATCGTTGGTTGCAGCAACAATTAGGATGGATCAGTGGGCAGCTACCGCAGGTCTTTGTCCATATCCACTTCCCAATGGCAGGAACCAATCTTATTTCAATCTCAAGAACCAGGGAACCCTAGGTGCTGCTACGCCACGCTCTGTGATTGGGCTTCCGCCTCGAACCTGGATGACCGAAATCACACCTTCGGCTTCACTTTCCTCGTGTCTTTCATATGAATTCTCTCGCTCAAGCCTCTGGAATGTCGGGCGCAGTCAGGTGCTGTGATCGGATTTCTGCCTTGGATTCTTGGAACTCTGAGTGCTGTTAGGTGCTGTGATTGAACCATGAGCACTGTTTTGTGCTGCGACCAGAATTCCAGACTTTGGAACCGACACGGTTGTGCTGTGATCCTGTTCGGCGCTTATCGGAATTTTGACCTGGGGTCTCCCTTTTTTTTGGCCGCAAGCGCCTGTCCGCAATCATGCGGATCGGGCCCTCTGCGCCGAAGGGCTTTTATGTTTTCATTTTTTAAAATAATCGCATTGGTGTTGCCACTTGCCTTTGCGCAGGCTTTGGTTCAAGCCGGCATATGAAGAGGGCACATGCACCAAAGCAGCCCGAGGGCGTGCCCATCAGGTTCATAGCGACTGGGGCCGAGAGAGCTGGCGATCATCGGGCATCAATCCCACAAGTCTGCCAAGTGCGGCGCCGCGGCTATGTCCACCAAAAACTTGAACACTAAACTGCCTCTTGGAGGTGGGCCGCTCGCGCAAACACGCACAACACGTGTTACTCTCGGGAGTTGCGCGTTCCTAGCAGGACGTTTCATTGCGGTCGACGGCTCCTGCACTTATTGTCGTCTTATTGTGATTTTATTGTGCATGAAACATGTTTTGTGCTGTGTAGAAAGAATGGTTCGTAATGGAGACAGAAAGCACACCACAAGAGCACAAGCTGTTGAGTGCGCAGAAAACTTCTGCTAATTATAGGTCCTAGGCCCTAGGTACGTGCAACTGCCTCTGGACGTGTTGCGAGTAAGCCATGCTCGGTACCACGTAGACAGAAACTTTTGCATTCGTGCTTTCTGTCTCCAATGCAAATCACTCCTGCTTCCCAGGAAAAAACACTTGCGCAACAGCGACAGGTATCAGGTACCTGCGCGTACCTACAGTAACATTCTTGCAGTTGTGAAGTGCTTTCCATCTTCTCGCTCCTCAGCTCCTGGTCCCGAGTTCCTGTTCTCATTCTCGTTCCTACTCAACTCTGGCAATGGATTTGGATTCGGTTTGGGAGCGTTAGCAGAGCACGCCCAAAAACACATATAGTTGGAGTATGTTGGAGTGTTTGAATATTCCCAGTCGATTGACTTGCTATCTGCTGTTGGGCTGGGTTCTGTGATCAAATTGTTTTGGACACCAAGGAAGTATTCTAGATGTAATTTCCTTGATTGGTGGATGGTTGGATGCCTTTGGCATTTAGCAGCTGCAGCTACACATCAACAGCAATCGCTGCAAACTAAAGAGAAGTTGGTCTTGGCTGCAGTCCTGAAAACACAACTTCAACACAGTTTCAGGACCCTGCCTTGATTTGCTCAATGATGACCTTGGCACCAGAACGCTGGCTCTGCAAGCGCTCCTGGCACCAAACTTCTCTGTTGATCCAATGAAGGAGAGAAAACCACAATCAGCCCACGAGAAATAACAATAGGAGCTCTGTGTTTGAACACATCCATACCAGTTGAAGCACTTATTTTCAATCGGCTTGCTCCTGCTCACGGACTTCGTACATCTTCAAAGCCTGGCGTTGAGAGAATTCAGCAGTATTTCCAAGCGTCTGATGACACTGAACAACCTTGGGAAACATCGAAAGACGTGTGAGCCGGCGATTAGGACCATCCCTGCGCTTTGATTGTATAAAGCCTTCAATAACTTCAATGTCACGAGTTACAAATATGTGTGTGTGTGTATGCGTGCTGGAATCTTGACTTGCCGATCCGATCCCCAGCACCTTCAACCGTTCGATCTCCATCATGGCATCCAAATGGCGCTCCTTCGAACAGTGGCTCTGGCACTTGCTAAACGGCTTTCTCATATATTCTTCGGGACTGATGAGGATGCTGATGCTGAGGCCCGTAGTGGACCTTTGGACCAATGATTCCGTGACATTGCCGGGATGAAATGTTCTTGAAACATGCACAAAGTGCTGCAAAGTGAGCATTCGGCGCAGCAAACCCCAGCGTTGGCACCATACACGGAAATCTTTGCAAGAATCTCATCGACTCGTCACACTCGTCCTCTTCTTCTCTCTCTGATTGCACCATGCGCCTAAGATGGTACAATTCGGGCACAAGCTCTCGCTTCCTCATGGCTTTGCTCCCTTTACAGTCAAGCTACTTCTCCTGGATTTGCGCATCTCGAATGGTCACTATCTTGGAGTACAACATCATCTGATTCATGTGCTTCACCTCAGAGCTGAAAAGGTGTTTACAAGTTTGTCCACTCATTCGCTGGCCATTGCAGGTCTTCGTCCAGGCGGCATCATCCATGTCTTCATCCAGCATCTGCTTAGCCCTCTCCAGCACACCACCCTTCGGCCCACGGGCATCCTGCAGCTTCAGTCTGTTGTCACATGCTGATGCCCTAACAGCTACGAGTAGTGGGGCATTAACAAGTCACAAGTCACAAAACAATGCCAAATCAAAGAGTTTTTCGTAACCACAACAGGTGTGGTTTGCAAGCGTCCAACATTCAGAGCCGCAACATCTGAAAAGCAACTGATACACCAAAACGTACCCAAACTATGAACGCCCCGAACTGGAGAGCGGGGAATGCCCAAGCGCCATGCTCCTTGGCATTCTCGCTCTGGATGGCATTCCTTTTGCGTTCCTCTTCCATTTGCCTGGCCAATCAAGGATAGCACCGGTCAAAAAACAGCTGTCGAAAGCAACTCCCTGACAGGCCCTGACAGCACTTCCGGTATGCGTCACCTGATCTTCTCTTTGCGAGCAATTGACTTAGCTTGGCGCTCTGCCAGGGCCTGGACGGGAACTACACTCTGTTTCACTCCGAACCGGCAGGTGATTGAACATCATCTGTGTGAACCTCTTCCTCGCGTTGCTTTTGCTCAATCTCCTCGGGCTTGTTGAGATGTGCTCAGAATTGCATCAATTCAACTGCATCAAGCTATGAACACTTCTGACAACTTTTGACAGCAACACATTGTCCTCTTCCTTCGTCACCAGTTTGGCATTCTTTCCTGAGCCCAAACTCGATAGAACACATAAAAAATAGTTCTAGCCACCGATAGTACGGGTTATCTAAACATCACAGATCCAATATACACCCAATTAAGCTCCCTGGCTCAAGCGGTTCAGTTCTGAAGCTGCGATGACAACTGCCTGATCCTTCATGCTGGCTTTCGCATGCCTTCACGATGTGCACAGTTGCATTATTCTCACAACCACTTGGCACATCAAGCGGTCGGTTTATATATCAAGCGTACAAGTGACCTTTATAACATCACAGGTCGCTGTTGCACTTGCAGTATGCACATGGAAAATCAGGACAACGTTGCAAGACAGGATGCTCGGGCCTGTCATACTTCTTTCGCACCATCACAGTGTCTTTGCCTACGATCATCACCTCTGTCCCTTCCCTTTCCTCCTTGCGGAGCATCCTGTCGGCCTCCAAAGAAACGCGTTGAAACGCCGAACAGAAGACGCAACAGCACCATCATGGCCAAGCTGCGCCAAACAGCGTTTCATCCACATCTGCGCTGTGGTTAAGCGTGCCTAGGATATCAAAAAAAAATTGTGTTTCAATGCGTTCAGAGAGCCTAGGACTAGTCAATATTCAGTGAGGGATGTTCGCAAAGCCATTGCATGACTGAGATATTACGGCAGCGCGCAAAAAGTAGTCTAAATGCAAACAGTTCTTGAAAATTTCAGCGCTTGAGCCATCGAACCCTGCCCTAAAAGTCGAGAGGTTGCACTTTTCTTGAACAGTGGAAATGTCAAAAGTTGCAAAGTAGCCGGATGGGACTGTGCACCGAGCACCACCTCGATTGCAGTGCTTTGCAGAGCTTTATGCGATTGGCATTGTTCCGGGGTTTTTCTCTAACGTTTTTATGTTTTTTTTTCATCTGTCGGTGCGTTTGGTATGGGATCCGGTGGACAAGTTGAGACGGTTTATGATGTATGCAATACTATATAAACACCATGATACTATATAACAATAGTTGTTATAAACAGTTATAAATATTTATCGGGTATAATTCTATGTACATTTATATATTTATACATGCTATTAATATCAATGTTCTGAAAGCAAAACAGTATATATATATGTTGCACTATGAATATGCTTGGCCTCTCTCTTTGCAACCTTTCTAGACACTGGTGTCTACATGCCACGATCGTCAGAAAGCAGTAGCCAGTCTGTGTTGTTGTGTTGTCCTTCACGTACAGACTGAGTGACTAAGTTTTTTCTTCAAGCTGTTCTCTGACAATCTCAACCTGAGCTTAAGTGGATACGAACGACCTGTCTTGAAGACTCGGGGCCCTTGAGCCAAGGGGTGAGATGGTTCAGGAACATAGTGAGATAGCGAGCTCTCCCACGCGCTCTTGCTTTGGGACCCCAGCGCTACAACGAGTTCTGTAGTTGTCAACGAGCAAACAGCTCCACTTTACACATGCTAGTCAACTGAACAAAAGCTAACGCCCCGCCTAAAATCGGAAGGCGAAATGTTGAGACATTCTATTTTCATCTCTGTGCGCTCCATCACCATCTTCAAGGTGACCGAAGGAAAAGTCCAGAGTGTAGATTCGCATGACACTCGTTCAATCATTCTATCCTCCACTTCTATGAATTCTGTCGTTGTGTCCAGTGTGTTGTATCATGCAAATTCAACTCTCATCTCATACGTACTCATGTTCAGGCTCTGCGGTGTCATCACCATGCCGAACTGCTCTTGCATAGGAAGTTGTCCTTCGAACACGCTCATTCTCTGTTGTTTCAATCGCTCCTTCGTTCTCAGGCGACCTCAAATCGTTTTCCCAAAGCTTGCTTCTGGGTGTTCACTGCGTCTGATGATGACGCTGTCGATAGGTTGCCAACTGCTTCATTCAATGTTCGTGGAATTGCATCATAGTCAATCTCTTCTTCAGCTGATGAACTCACATGGTTCACCTCACGCCAAAACATCGCTCGCCTCACTCAAATAGCTCCAAAGATATCGACCCCGATTCGCCTCTGATGTCTCCCGATCACTGTTCTCTGGCGCCTCATTCGATGTCTCATTGTGCGTCTCATTCTGTGTCACTCTTCGACTCTTAAATGTATCCATGCTCCAAGTTCGAGGTCATTCAAAATCTGCCGAACTGCTTTCCTAGTCTTTGGGTTGTCATACCTCACAGCAATGCTCAACAATGAAACCACTGCGCGTCTCTCTCCTGTAGATCGAGTTTCTCCACAAAACTCAACTCCTTCTGAAACTCACCAGTTCAAGCCCAATCGAAGATCTTGTTCACCGACTCCGGTTCGAATGCCTGGAGAATCACGGTTGAAACAAATGCCACGAAAACACCTGCCACAGCAAATAGTGAAAGGATTCCGGTCAGCTCTTTCCCTACCTGGTTGCAACCTTGTAGGCCTAGTCAGTCCAATACTCATCAGCGCACCGAAGCTATACCTGTTGAACCTTTGTACAAGCACTGTTCTAACAGCCGGAAAATCTGTTTGTTGTTGCAACGTTCAAAGAACTCTTTGGCTCCAACTCTTTCTTCAATGTCGAAATCATCGTTCAGCAAAATGGCCTGTATGAAAAACATGAGAAAGTTCCGTCGGTTCACACTCAGTTTCTTGGTGTTCAAATCAGCTATGTCCTGCTTTGTTGAAACTGCTTTGATATCAACAGAACCATCCTGAATCAATGCCTGCGTCCACAACAATCTTACGTGATAGCGCTTCAGTCTTCCAACACCTGTTCTCTGAAGCCACTGCCTCGCAGAAGACGAATCTGTTCGAATGCACGTCCTGGAAACATCTTTTGTCAGAAAATCCCAAACTTGCTTGATGAGAAGCGTCTCACTCAGCTCACCTGTCAGTGCCAAAAGCTCTGCTGAGTGCAATGGTCTTCTGTGTCCGGGAATGGCTATGAATCACAATGCTGTTCAAACAAAATACACTCGATGAAGTACTCTTCCGTGAGTATGCGCTACCAGCCCAATCAGAATCCGTGAAAAGCTCAAGCAAATGAACTCTATTGTTGTCAAACTCACCTTCTTCAGAAACACCGTTCAATCTCTTTGTCATGGAGTTGCCTGGGGCCTCATAGCCCATGAAAAACGTGAGATGCATTGTACCCTTCAAATACAAAATCAAATGAATCAAGCAATGCTCTGCATTCACCGTTGGGGCCGAAAGCCAAGATGCAAGGGGCTTAATTGCAAACGGACAATCCACACGTTGCTGTGCAAGTACATCAAAGTCCCTCTTGCGAGATGTCTTCAAGGCTTTCGCTGCAATTTACTTGTCCAAGTAGTTGACGGTCTGGTGTTGTCTTGTGTCTCTTGTTCTCTAGACTGTACAACTTGACCACTGCATCAAAATACTTCTCGTTTGGCTTGATGAAGATTCCATCAGGGGTGAGTTTGTAATTCTTCTTGAGGTATCCAATTTCCTCGCCAGCACCTACCTTGTTCGCAGGAACCAGACCCTCAACCTAAAGTTTGTACTTCTTCTTCAACTCTTGCGAAAGCCACTCTCCGTCTCGAGGATCTTTTGCAGCAACTAAAATGTCGTCTACGTGCGTGTTGACTACTGCTTGTTTGGTTGTATGTCGAAACACCGAGGGCATAGCTAAGCCAGATTCGAAACCCAGCTCATTCAACACCTGCGAGAATGAGGAAAACCACCTTCTAGCACCGTTTCTTTGTCCAGGAAGCACTTTCTTCAATCTCCAAACTGTGTCATCTGAAACTTGCAAAACTGATTCGATCCATGGCCTCAGTCCTACGATGCACTCTTCGACCTGGTCCACCGTGAGATAAGCATCACTTATGTCTAGACTGAGCAGCTTCCTATCGTTCCTATGAAAGTTCAGATGCAAAACAAAAAATAGCCTCACTGCTGAAGTCGCGGTGGTTGGTGAAAACGTCTCCTGATCAGTATGCGCTCCAGCCCTGAACTCTCTTGCCACAATGCGACAACGTCGATGCCAAGCTCCTTGGCGGCGCCGCCAACCATACACTTCCTTCAGGTCGATGAACTTGGTTTCCTGGAAACTCTTTTCTCCAGCCTTTACTTCCTCGACCACGTCCCAGACTCTTCAGCTCTGAAACTTCATCGATCATTGCCTGATTGTCCAACTCTTGAAGCTCTTCAGGCCTCGTCGTCCTGGAACAATCTCGGGTCCAAGTCAAAGTCTTCTCCTACTAAGCCAAGCTCTGTTCCAAATCCATGTCACATACCTCGTCATCATGGGGTTTCATCTCAACCTGACCAGGAAAATAAGGTGCGTACAAACGTTCATGTGTCATGCTTGAAGGACTCGAAGCCAAGCCTTCACCTCGCGGTGCCTCGAGGAGATTCATTGCCAGCCACTGCGCCTGAGGATCGTTTGATGCTACTGCTCATGTCGATGTCGCCCATCACTTGTTTCATCTCGGCCATTGCATCTGGATTCAACTAGAAGGTTTAAGAGGAGCGCGATTGCCAGGGGATGTCAGAACATATCCTGAAGACGATGCAGCGTCCCTCACATCTTCCGCGTGACTGCTTCCTCTCCTATTCTCCATGGCCGACGTGTTCAAATGGGAAGAGGAGTACCTAGCCCACCAGGTGTCTTTGGACCTTTCTGTTTCAGACATGGGCGTGACTGCAATGCTAAAACGGCGTCTTTCCTCCAAGGCGTTGAACATCTTCGCACTGACCTTGTCGCGAACTGTCCAGATGGTGTCAAAGTTATGTTCACGTCACGTCCACAGCATCTTTTCCTACCATGTTTCGAGGGTTTCTTCAGCCCGAAACAAAAGTCGCCAAAAGGCATCAACTTTCCTTCATGCTTCTTTCCAAAACCACAAATCTCATCGGCGTTGCCTTCAAAGCTCGATGTTCGTGGAATCTGCTCAAAAGAAAGCAACTGTGGATCAAGGCCCGTGCTCGAAGAACGTGTGTCTCTTCCAACGCAATGCCAAGGGCATCCTCGACTTGCTAAACCAAGGCCACTGCTGGGTGCTTCATGGTTTGAATCTGTCACTCAACTCTGGCCGTCCTTCCCTCGCGCTAGGGCTTTCCCAATTTCTTCGGCCTCTGAACCCATGACGAAAATCACTTCGCTCCAAGTTCCAAGGAAAAACGAGCCGCTGCTTCTGCTGCCTGCCTGTAAGCTCCTTTCGTTGCCGCAGGGAACACATGGCTGTACCTGGTCTTCACATCCAGCATGCGCAATGCAGGGCAATCCTGCCCAAGAAGACTCCATACGATCTGAATTGTGGGCGCTCCAACGTCCCCCTGCTCTGTTCTGCAGCGTTCTCTCCTTCGCCTTCGATCTCGCGCAAATACTGCACCAACTTTGAAATGGAAGACGCGTGACTGCATGTCTCTCCTGTTCAGCCTCGTCTGGCAGAGGATTTGCTGGTTTCTGAACAGACAGTGAAGGTTCTTGCGTCCTTTCTTCAAATTCTCTGAAAGAACAACTGCGTCTCTTTTGTAGTTGCAGAGTCTCTCAAACATTTTCTTCTTTGCGCCGCTTTGATTCACGCCAAAATCTCCAAAATACTCACACGCTTCT